ACGCCAAAATAAAAAGAAGTAATTACATCCTGGAATTAAGCCTGTCATATATGCAGCCATCTCAGACTGTAAAGCATCAGCAGGCCCAGAAAGCGCAGTTTCTAGAGCGGTCCACCTCCCTGGCATCTGTAAGAGCCTCCGCAGATGCTGACAAACCTGGACATTCTCCTGCAATGGTGATTTAGCTTTAAGACACTGAAGGCATCGAGAAGACACTGTTTATCTACAAAATTATTTCCAGACATAAACAACAGAAAAGAAACTGGCAGTGTAACAGATATTAGCCCTCACATTCCTAAGGTGGCTCTTCTCACAAGGAGAGTCACCCTCCACTTTTCTGCTAGCAGAAAACCAAATTAAACACTGTCCGTGATTCAAAACCCAAATGCCTTAAAATATTCTCAAATAGATAAATGTATCACAATCTATGTAAATATGGGATCAACCTTTCACACTTGCTTTTGAAAATATTGTTTTTAATTCAAAGATATTTTTAATCTTGCTCTATCGAAGAAAAAAGGAAAATGGGAAAGACTTTCCTCTGGAGTTTCACATGCCCATCAGTATCACAACTTTAAGTAAGGTCTTGTATGCAAGAGAAAAAAAGCACTTGTGACCAGCGCACTACAAAACCTTTTCACCTTTTTTTTCCTGACAACAATATTTAAAAAGATAATATTACCTTAAAATTGACTGAGACTGAGAAGACTTTTGTTTCACTGTTACTATTAAGTCTATATTAAAAAGTTCTAGCATTTTTTAAAACGGGAATTTAGAACCCATCTTCAATGTTTTCCCCTGGTATGTGGTCAGCAATTTATAGATATGAAAGAAATGTATTAGTTGCCTGCACTTTTGGATAACTAAAGGAAAACCCACCAAAAGTTTATACTCTATGAATGTCTTCACATACATGATCTTAGAATAGAATAGTTCAGTTGGAAGGGACCTACAATGATCATCTAGTCCAACTGCAATCTTGAAAACAGCCTTAAATATAAAAAACAAACTCCCCAAAACCAACGTACTGCTAAACACGTAGCCGCTTCACTACTGAACTGGCAAAGCTTTATGGTTCGATTGGGCTCTGTTGTGCTCTGACCTGGGAGGAAAGCGACCCTCAGTTGCACACTGGTTCAAATCACAGGAATCCACTACAATATCCAATATTATTACACAAAGTGGCATATATTCCAAAATAAAAATCAACAAGTTGGTAATCATAATAACGCTGCTGTTCCCTTGCAAAGCAATTTACAGTGCTTTTATCACCATAAATCTCCTGTAATATTTTAAGCCTGTAACAGAAATCTGATTAATCAAAAACACTTGTTATAATCAAAAGCACTTTTGTGATGGAAAACCAAAAGCACATTCCGTTAGCAAAATACGTGTTAAAAAAACATGTTTTAGAATTGCACCCTGTATTTTGGAAACAATGGCCAAACTGATATGCCATCATATTCCCATCTGTTGCGTAACTAAATTTATCTTTCACTTGTAACTATTTTTATTTCCTAATTCAGGAGGTTTCCAAAACTTCAGTCAGAAAAGACTTATATATGATTAATCCTTCATTATTGCAATTTTAATCTAAAATAAGGTTATTTTGCAGCATACCTATCAACTCAAATATGATTGTCTGAGTTTTATAGTCTGGTTAATATATGCAGTCTTTATTTCAGCATGGCTCAGTTGAAATCACTTAGCAGCTATTTGAAAACACTTATATATGTCTACTGTCACAGAAACAACAACAACTTACAAATATCTTTGACATGGGAAGGTGGAATAAACACCATAGAAGTTGACATAAGAGAAATAAGAGGCACAATATTTAAAATGACATCTTCATTTATAGTTTCTAGAATGAAATGCCAAATTTACTTTCTTAATTTCATTTTAAAATAAAAAAAAAACTAGGAAACAGCCAACCAACAACTGAACACAGGAAAAAAGGATTATATTTACTGATTAGTATTTCAATTTAGCTTCTCCTGTAATTTTTCCTGATCACTTCAATAATATGAAATCTATTCTCCAGTCATGCCTGCAAAATGAATTAGGTTAAGCTACATTTCATAAAGTAAACAAGTTATTTGGATATTCTTACAAATAGACATTATAGTTTTGAACTGAACTACTCATGACATTGCTTAATACTTACAGCAGCTTCTACAATATCATTTCTACCTAAGCAAGGCATGGAGAAAACACATTAAAATAAAATGTAAAATTCTGAAAAACTGAAACAACTGTACTTCCCAACAGTAAATGTAACCAACATCTGTTGCAGAAACTGCTTGGCACTTGTACAGTTTTGTGAAGGATTTTTGTTGTAGATAAATATTTTTCTACAATTCCTATTACATACCACTCAAGTTAGACATTTTCTTTAATTATACTCTTAGGGGTCTTTTCATATCCATTAAAGAAAGGTAATTTGTTGCCTAAAAGAATGCATACATACTTCTAAATTTCAACTGTGATTCATCTGTCTTCTGACACATAGAAAAGCAAGGAAATACCATAATTAATGGACTTAGTTCTGCAAAAATGTCTAATAAAACTCTCAATGTTCAACACATTATTTTTATTAAATCCTTAAATATGCTTTTTTTGAAATAAGGAATGGTCTTATGATTCAGCGTTTTACTTTCATTTCACATCTCAATAATGTGGACAACAGCACAGCAAATCCTTTAGGAAGGCAAGAAATTTCCATTTTAACATTGGCAAAATTGACCGAATAAGGCTCCCACTTTGCATACACAGCAAGCACAGGACATCATTTTTTCAGGGACAAAGTAACAACTTTGTGACATTCTCCTTCAGTTTTTTACAATTTTGTTTTCCACTATTCTTAAGTAAAGAATTTCAAAGACATACACTGAGATCTTGATAGAGGGTTTTTTCCCCTGAAAATATGCATAAGCTCTGCACATTTAACAAAATTCTTGTATTCAGCATTTCACACAGACTCAAAGTAGCAATCAAAACTTGTTTGCTATGATAACACACAGAAAGATTTTTTTTAAAGAGCATGCAGCAGAAACATATTTAAATGCTATTGTAAGCATATAAAGATCTACTCCTCTACTGAGATATCAGGCAATTGGTAACAATGGATGAGGAGAAAATGAGGGCACTGCCAATAAAAGAGAGGAAATGCTAACGCTAAATACACAAAAGATTCAGTTCAGGCCCAAAAGTCTACCCACATGGGCTCAACTGCAAAATGGAGAGTTACATGTATACTTTGCTGTAAAGCAAACTAACTGGCATTGTACTCACTATTCTTATGAAACCAGACAAGGAACATTTCTTACATGATATTTATAATCAAAATCCTCAATTAACTTTAAATCAAATCCGGCCATTTTAAGAGGAAAAAAGTAGTAAAATAAAAAATACTTAAATCATGTGAAAAAAGCATTTCCGTTGATGGAAATTGTAATCTGCATTGCTCTATGAAAAAAGTAAAAATCAAAACACCTTGGGTATATTTGGATGAATAAAGTGAAACCAGTTGTGTCTCAGGAAGGCTTAGGAATACATGCTTTGCTTTTACATTGCACAATAGACTAGAAGAAATTAATAAACTGATATATAAAACCACGTATTACATTTCCTTAAATATTCATTACTTCTTCCTAAAACTGTTTTCAGACAAACAAGACCTAGAACTTGTAATTCTATCCCTGCATCATTTCAGTTTACCTTTTATGTACCTTGATATACTAAATCCAAATTGCTCCCCCCCTGCCCAGCACGGAGTCTTGGAGGAAAGGACCAACAATTTAATAAAACATTTTATAGCGTAGCTTACACAGTTCTGTTATTCTCCTCCTCTGATACGAAAAACATCACTCTACTCCAGTCACATTTACACTTCTCCTCCTTAATACATAAGCTTAACTTTTTATCCTCTATTTCTCTTGGCTAAGAAAGGAGGCATAAATAGCAATAAAGCAGTACAGAAAGAACATAAAACTATACTGTACAAATAGCAGTTATCCTACAGATCAGTAAGTTTTGCATTGAATTGAATTGGCATTCTTCAGAAAGATCGTATTTTAGGCAAAGAAGTGCATCTAAGAAAGCAACAAGTTTAAATACAAAGTAGCAACACGGTAAGGTGCTGAAACAGTTTTCACTCTGCTGTATCTGCTGTAATAAAAAACACCACTCACGGAGCAAACAGGAGATTTCACATACAATCTTTAATAGGAAGAGTCCTTTAAATGACATTTATGAACAGAATGACACAACCAAATTTTAACTTCTTCCTACAACTTCAGAAGAATAAGTGGAGCTTCTCATGAAGAATCAGTAACTTTAAGCATTTCCTCAAAAGTATATGACTTGATAGGAATGTAGTAAGATGAATTTTTCAGAAACTTAAGAGCAAAAGGTAAAATGAATAGAACAATTATATAATTTACTATGTGATAGCTACTAATTAGACAAAGACATTACTCCTTAAACAAAAAAAATCAGAACAAGTTAAGGACTTCAGAACAGGAATTGCAACTCTGCCTTCACATCAGTACATAGCAGTTCAGGAAAAAAGCTTTTACATAAAAGACAACCTATGGCTGCAATCTATTGCTTTAAGCAGTTGCAAAGAATGGAGTAATGGGGTAGTGCAAGATTAAAACTAATAGCAAATAAAAAACGAAGCTAAACAAAAAATCACTGTCCCAGCAGCTTGTGATAAGGGTAGTTTAAAAACATCTTTTCGCTCTCAAGCAAAATATGGTGAAAGCAGGAGAACTGTTTGTATCCAAGTATTACTTGTCTGTTTTCCAGAACAAGTAAGCCTGTATTGAGCGCATTGGACAAAGTTCTTAGGGGATGGGACTGTTCTTCGTCTGCGTACTTACAGCAGAGTAACTGAGGCCAGTCCTTAACTAGGATGTCAGGGTAATAAGTAATACTGGGTCAGTGGTGTGCAGATAGTAAATACAAACAGGCAAGATGCTGCCATGTTAACATACCTCTTGTATGGAGCGAGCTGCTGGCTTGTCTTGATGATTGGCCAGTATTAAAAACGGCAAAGTACATAACTGTGGGTGCTGGAGAGCAGAATGCAGTTCATTCCTAGCAGTTTCTAGATCATCTTCAGAGGAGGCACTGTCTAATACAAATATTACCCCTTGGGATCCTTGGTAGTAACGACTCCAGTATTTCCTGATATTGTCAGCCCCTTTCAAGACAATAATAAGAACTAATTAAAACAAGAATAATTAAACAGATTTAACATTTTTAACTGAAGATAACCCTTCTACTTAGAACAATCAAAGCAACGGACTGAATTTTCTCTCCTAAATAATCATTGAAAGAATAAAACGGAAAAAAGCAACCGTAAATCCAACATACACACAAAATTTCAAATTAACATTGTTTAAATAAGGAAGGAATTTGACTCAATGCAGTCTTCATCCCTGAAAATTTCTGCTCCATTAATGAGTACTGGCAGAACTACCATGCTTCCAGTGCCACACAGCCTAATCCTATACCTTCTCACTGAAATACCTGAAATACACTGAAAAACCTCCGCCCATTGTTTTTTACTTAACCCTGTAGCTCCTAGCCGTAACCTGTAGCTTCTGTCACAGTAGTGGCTCATTTCTGAGCATGATAAGGTCTTTCAGTTCATCTCCAAACCATGAGGCAAACACTTCATAATTGGGGAAAAAAGGTGTCAGGAAAGCCTATTAAAGTAATTAGACACTTAATAAGGAGAATGGTGATACAACAGACAGTTGAACAGTGAATGAGGAGCTATGGTGACAACATGCAAAGGCATTCATTTCAACTACTTTTGCTCCATCAGCCACACTAAGGATTCTGGAGGAGCCCAACAGTAGACACAAGTGACTGTACAGGCTTATATGCCGCAGTAATTTTTAGGACACAGTTCAGCAGCACTCAGCCATCTCAACAGAAGCCAAGCAATAAGGTTATCTACAGAAAGCTTTTGTCTCCCCCGGAGAGCAGCATATGTTGTAACACTGAGGTAGGAAAAAAAAATTGTATTTGACAGCTGTCAAACTATCTAAACTATGACTTGGATATGGGCTATTCTTTGTATGTCTGAATCTGGCACTACACTCATGGGGACTAACACTAAAAAGTGAACAGCAGCAGCAATACTTTAGTAGAAAACTTGACATGTCTGCAAGACAGTGTTTTGCAGAAATGTGCTGAAAGTATCCTTAACAGACACTTTTCTTACTTTGAGATAGGGAGAAGTGAACTTTAATGTAGGCACAGATACCAAGTGCTGATAATAATAAAACTCCATTTTTTAGTGAAACAAAACTACACAAAAATTCTGATGAACATGTAGGCACAAAATGAGAATTTAATGCAACACAATTACTATAACATTGATATGATACTTAAAATATTCACTTAATTTATATGTTGTGCAACAGAAAAGACAGTCACTAAAGGTGAAGAAATAAAGATCTAAAAAGGAATTTACACCATATACTTTAGGCATCCAATTCAAAGTAATCAAAACTTGCCCCATGGAGTTACTGTCTTCTCTGTACCGTCCACACTGGAACCTTAAGCACTCCGTTCCTGTATTCTGCACCTAGCACAATTTAGGTGGCTAACGAATGTTGTGAACACACACTTTTTCCTACAGAGAATATTGAAGTCATACTGAACAGTTTTTTTCTGCAAGAAATTTAAAGAGTTGATTACTCAAAGGTAAACGGTCATGGGATTTAGTCAAGACCTTGCTTAATTTCTCTATTAATTTAACCAGACTCAAAGTAACAATGCACAAATAGCACAAGTGTTTCATTTATTTTATCGTCAACTTCTGAAGATCAACATTACTTATACAGAAGAGGGATTGCACTGAAAGCTAATTCTATGTTTCTGTACCACCAGAATATCTATCAATTGTACTTGTAAAGAATTTCATAGCATCTGTTTGATGTCCCAGCCTTTCCAAACAGCTGTCTATGTCAGAACCAAGTACAGAGAGTTGCCAGAGGGACACTATTTACATAACCACACACAGCAGTGTCGCAGGCATCTGAAGTATCACATTACTTTAAAAACTGGTAGAGAATCATTTTCAATGAACTGAAAGGCCAACACCATGATCAGCTCTTTGAAGGTCTTTTTTTTTTCCTAGCAACATAACATCTGTCTTATTTACTCTAAGCTTCAGCCAGCTACTTTTCAATCACGTCGCTGCCAGACCCTGAGTCTTATCTTTTAACCATACTATTTCTAAAGAGAAAAATCGTGTGGTGAACTGCAGAGCATTTGACCTCTTGTATCCAGGCACATGGAAGAAAGCAGCTCACGGATCCCTACATGGGACACTAGAACCAGAAAAGCAGTATGCTGATTTGTTAACCCTACGGTCCTGTCTTTTTGGTTCAGGTTCTTTAGCTGCTCAACTTTGTTTTTCTACATCAACCGTCCCAAAAGAAACACCACCAAAGTGTAGAAGTCCTTTTCTGTCCAGTCCTGGCCAGTCATCATGGCATAGCTGTAAGAAACAGCTAATAATGTCCAACAAAACTTGGTATTTCCTTCGGGATCTTCCATTAGAATAATGACATGCTCTGAACTTGCTTACACTTCAATTCTGAGGAAATCACAGCCTGAGGTTTAAGAATAAAAAAATTTGCAGTAAGCAGACAAGAAAAAAGACTGAGAAAGTCTGTACCTTGGGGTACCATTTTAACTCATTTTTCTGGTATATATGCACTTGAAAAATAATTCTTGGCATCAATAAGCTATCAGCAACTGGAAATCACAATTTCTACAACACAAATAAGCTTATATTCTTTTGCCTTAACTCTTCATATCCAGAGATCATAACCTGCTCTCAGCTTCTTTCTCCAGAGCATTAGGTAGTATGTTGTGGAGTTATCCTCGGCAGAAAACACTGGCCTGTGAATAGCAATCCAGTCATCGCACTTTACGGCATGACAAATTCAATCTTATAGAGCAAGCAGTTATTTTTAAAGGTGCAATTTAGCGCAGACTATCCTATGAATTATTATTATCCATCTATTCCAAAGGTTTCTAAGACAGGGAAATTCAAAGTCTGAGTTCTTCAGCAATCCAGAGTGTAATATGCATCCATTAAACATCCTCAGGCTCTCAGAGACCGCTGAGATAAAAACAGAAACTTAACTGGTACCCAAAATGTCAAACAATAGTAACACACAAGATAAGGATATAGGTTTGTCAGCCTAATATCATGTGTTTCTCTAACAGCTTTGCAGGCACGTGGCTGTTTCTTCAACCACTTTATGCCTAAACTAAGATAAAAAAAAGAAAAAGAAAAAGAAAGTAACTCAGGTAAAAATCTCCAAAACATCAGAAAAACATAACAACAATTCACATTAGACCTAGGGAACGCGCTATGCAAAAGGTTCACTAAAACGTGACATTCAGTGTAGTATTTCCCTCAGACACAGGCAAGAGCCACGACTCATGCCTAGCCGTATGATTTGTTTCCCTCCGCAATTAACCCACGGGAGTGGGTTGAGTCCTGTGAGGTGACTAAAACATCCCAATTACAAATAAATGTGGGGAGAGAGAAACACACTACAACACAATCACATTACTTATTAGAGAAGAAAAGATAGTATTCAGTCAAACATAGGCTTGAATTACTTTATATTCTATAGGACAGGTTTAACTATAGGACAGGTTTATTCAACTAACTGTTCAAAATTTTAGAACATTTTCATTTGTGATTTTTTAAATATCAAATACATAAATTCTTTTTGATTATCAGCCAGGGGTATAGTGTGTCCATATTAACACCATTTATGATTTGTATCAGTGCCAATAGTACCCTCTCAAATGCCCCTTGGAAGCTGGGGGAGGAGTCTGGGAGTTACATGCCGTTTAATACACATCCAAAACAAGTTGCACAATTATGCACTCCTGTAAATATCATGCAAAATGCAGAACTGCAAATCTTCCTTTCAACTATGAATACTTCTGTTTACATCTTCATTCACAGCAGTTTGAGGCTACCTTCAATTCCCTCCTTTTCAGTACTTTTAGGAGAACAGAACATAGCGTTACAGAAAAAACCACTGAAAGCAATTTAAAGGTGTCAAATTTGTTACTTGTCAAACTTGCAGCAAACGTCCATCGAGAGCACAATGAATGTCACACAGCCCTTGCTTCAAGATAGTCTAGCCCGCACATGAAAGCTCTTGTTCACCTCAAAATACATCACGGCTCCGGAGAAGTTATAGTCTCAAATCCAGGGAAGAACTTTTTCTCCTTCCCACCAAAATCAGTTAACCTGGGGCCATGGAAGAATGCAGGCTGCAACCAGTTTTTCTACCACTTTAAATATAACATCCACTCACCTGAAAAAAAGACACCTACCTATTTTGAAGGTTTTATAGTTGATTAAAAAATGATATAGATAATTCCTCTACTGATATTAAACAGGCCGTTTCTAATTAGCAAAAAGGTGAAAAGATGCCAAGGAATATGTCCACTGCGCCACAAAACCTTTTTGCATGAAAGACTGGCTCATGGGTAGGGGAGTAAGAAGGAAGGGAAAGGAAAAAGAAATCTCTTGTCCATTCTTGCAAATTTTTAAATACACCCTACCTTCCCGCCCCAAGAAAACCTTAAGAAAAGAATTTTGAAATAACTGTTTCTAAATCTATGTAGGGTTTTTAACTTCACTTCCCATCATTTCCTCACAAGGAAAACTGACATGTTTTCTTAGGTAATCAGGATGATGCCTGAAATCTTAGAAATCTTAACACATTTTTAAGAGACGTGGCTGCTCCTAATCTATCTCAGGCATACTCTCTATTTAGGTCTCCCAGTACTCCCCTTGAAGAAATACAGCATACAGACTTTTTTTGTTGTTTTTTTGTTTTGTTTTTTTAACACTAGCTATTTTTCAACCTATTAGCTCCCTTTTATTACAAATAAAGTTATAAATCCTTTCTAAGATACCTGCTTTGTATGTACATGCAGTTTGTCCACACTGACAGACACATCCACACACAGATGATACAGAAGCTTCCCACAGGAGTAATGTCAGTCACCATTCGATGGCTATTTTGTATTGCTACTGCTTATTGCTAAGCGGCAATACAGATGCTAAACCAAAACCTTCCCCAAGATTCAAAAGTCCCAGGACTTTTGCTTCCCAGGGTTTAAGACCAAGTGATCATAGCC